GTATCAGAAAATGAGTCGGACAACGATGAGGGTTCGGAGAATGAGATGCAAGAGTCGGATAGCGATGAAGGTTCTCATACCGACATGGATGATGACTTACCTTTGGCGGAAACTCCCGTTTTCGCCCAGAATCTGGACCCGACGATGGAGATCTTGTCCGCTAGCCTGCACAGTCAAGTCACGTACAGGTAGATGTCTCTCAGGTGCATACTCCAATCCATTTATTCCGTGTAGGGATTCTATTCGAAATGCTATGAAATCTATTGGTTTGGTTTGTGGCTCGAATGCAGCTGTGTTGGAGATGGCTTCTCTTAGCTCTAGGTGTGAAATTCCCCTTCATATACCCACTTCTCAGACCTGTGCTATAGTTCGCGCACACATGATGTTTATGGAAATGCCCCAACAGCCCAGAGATTGGATTATAAGCCAAAGCAGCCCGCACAGGCCTCTACCTCAGCTGCTGGGGGTTTATCTAATGGTCCTTTTGCTTGGAACAAACTTCAATTAGTTACTTTAAACAAGATGAGTAGGGAGACTTTTATTGCCTCGGATGGTGTTTCCATGGAACCGGAGCGAAATGCTGTGCAAGCTAAGTTGACCATGCTTGATCGAGCGCTTATGGCTTGGCAAACGAATTGCCTTCCCTTATGTACTAATTTAACTCAAACGTCGATGGTACCACTTTGGAGACTTTGAAATTATCACCACAGTGCCAAATTCTTTTATTTGCATTTTCACTAGTGTTGAGGCTAGGAATGCGGTTTTAATGAGTGGGCCTTGGATTATTGCCGGCAACATCATTAGAATGGACAGATGGACTCCCAACTTTTCTCCTAATTCCCTTCAAGGTCTTCATTCACCCATTTGGATTCGTTCGCCACAGCTTCCTCTTATGTATTGGGATATGAACAATATCACTCGGCTTGCCAATATGCCAGGGGAACCTCTGTGGATGGACTCACACACGAGTACTTGGGGAAGATCATCTTATGCAAGAATTTTTGTTATGATTAATCTTTCTCAAAAGCTTCAAGCGGGGGTATGGATCAATGGAATTCAAGGACGGTTTTTTCAAATAGTTGAGTATGAAAGGCTTTCAAATTTTTGCTTTGATTGTGGTTTCATTAGTCATGCCAAAGGAACTTGTCTATCTAAGGCTCCAACTTGTGGCTCTCAATCTTCCCCATTGTAGTCGTCGCCATCAACCAAGGTGCAAGCCGCATCCGAGAAGGTCCCCCACATACCCATCCCTCCTCCTAAGACGAAGAATAAAGTTGTTGGAGAGTCCTTTCTAAGTGAGGACAAGGATGACTCCTCCCTTGGAGCTTGGAACCTAGTCACCCAGAGAATGAAAGGAAAACCAAGGGCTCCTAAAGAACCAGGCTCTCGTTCACTAACCGAACCTCCGATCCAATTTTCGGCCGAGAAGATACATCAAATGGAAGAAATTTCTAATAGGATTGTGAACTTCCGCAAGCAACAACCAAAATGCTCCAAATCTCGCTTGGACAGAGAGCTCCTCCAACTTGGGCTTTTAAGTGCTTTGCCCACCTCATCAAGGAAGAGGAAGAAGATTTCTACAGATTTCACAAGCGGCAACTTGATCCTCTCAAGTGCTTAATGAGTGACCGTTTTCATTGGTTTGTATTGGGTTTTATTGCGTAATACAAACTAATGAAAGGGTCCTCCTCACTTGAGGGGTTTTTTTCTTTTTGTTTCCCTCTACGGCTTGGTCTGGGATGCTTTTCTAATTCTTTCCCTCCCCCTTTTGTCTTTTGAGAGTGGAAGTCTTTCCCCCCACAAGCTTGTTTCTCTCCGTGTTATCTTCTTTTTCAATTCTAATCTATTTGTGTTTAAAAAATAAAAATTAAAAAAATCTAACACCCAAAACTTTAATATTACATACATATCACTCTATATTATTTTAATATCAAATAGACCACTCATATATTTCATTTCTACGACTCATATTTAATATGAAAATAAACTATGAGTGATATGTATGTAATATTAAAGTCTTAAGTTTTAAATATGTAAATAGAGTAATATAGGGTGATATGTATGCATATCTCCCTATTTTTTATTGCTATTTAAAGTTTCATGCACTATGAATGTAAATAGAAAAAATTATGCTAAATATATAAATGATAACTTTGAATGCTATGCATGAAAATTTGCTTATTTTTCTTAACATGCTTCTTAATTTTAAGAGTTGTGGTCCCATAATGAAATCTTTTTCTAATCATAAGTTAACTTAAAAACTCGTGTAGAGCCTCAAAATGTATGGAAGATTAAACTATGGCCCTAGCAACTCTCTTGCTCAGCTTTAGGCATTAGCTCAAGTAAAGATTGGTAATTAAAGAGCAAAATTTACATAAGATAGGGGATAGAAAAAGGAAAATGAGCAAACTCATGATAGCCCGTCCCAAATTATTTCAACACTAAAGCAACAATGTGTATTATATGCAAAGAACACATGCAAGAACCTAGTATAGGTTCTATTGGTCCCTAAATTAAGAAATCAACTCAACAATATACTAGAAAATTTTGGTTAAAATATATCAATCATGTTGCATAAAAAGGATGATTAACTCTATGCCAACACCTAATTTAATTCCAAAGTAACCAAGAGCTTCTATGGGGCTTGCTTACTCTCTTGTGTTTTGACTAATGAGGAATGGTATGACCTATTTCCTACCTCTTTTGGTAGGTTTGAGAGTCTAAGATGCTCTAGCTATTCTCCTTTGATCATTCACACAAATGAATTGAAAAGACCCCGTCACAGAATTATGTAAAAACTATTGGTCAAATATGCCTAAATTCTAAGAAGCCTTATATTCAACATTATTTAAACCTTCTAACAAGGATCCTATCTCCTCTCCCTACTTTAGATTGAAGATGTTTACAAATTTAATCAAATAAAAAAATTGGTGTTCGATTAACCAACTTGCCAGAAACATTCAATTCACGAAGAGCCAGCAAGTATTTTGCTTTTAGTTAATAAGCACCGACTCTATGAATCCTAATCTCTTAAAAGAAAAGACTAGTTAAAAAAATTAAGATTCGATGTGAAGTTCTATTTCTGTTCTATAAATAAAGATGAGCTATATTCAAATTCAAAGCTAGTTTTCTGATTCAAATGAATTGGTACTCTTTTCTGGGATTCTTTTCAAGTGTACTGAAAATCCTTTGATAGTAAGAAATCAAAAGCTAGAGAATTCATTTCTAATAAATACCAGTGATAGAGACCCTTTTTATGATAATAAATGACCTACTTAACCCATTGGTTAGAGTATTGCTTTCATATGACGTGAGACATTGGTTCAAATTCAATAGTAGTAGAATTTATTAGATAACATGGGGAAAAACTTACAAACTCTACTCTGACTAGGCTTTTTGGATACTGCAAAGGAGAGAAATAAAGTGGTTAAGTAAAGATGAAAATGATCTTACATTTCACTATGAAAAAATCAATGAAAGGAGGACTCACAATTGTATTAAAGAGGTATCTACTGATCAATGTATATTTACCTCTCTTGATATTACTGGAGCAGCCATCACTCACTTAAAAAACTCGTTTAATGTTCATCCTTCTAGTATAGGTAATTACTCCCTTCCTCTTCCCAAGGCTGTGAAATACCAAGCTTCCTGCTCCCAGGTCTAATTGCTCCAATCACTGATGAAGAAATCAAAGTTGCGTTCTTCTCATCTTCTCACATTTGGTTTATATATCTCTACATGGGATGCCATTGGCTTCCACACATGTAAGGCAGTTAAATATTTCTTCTACACAAGCTCCTTTCCTATCAAGGCCAAAGCAACATGTATTTCTCTCATCCCCAAGAACTCCCATGCTGGAAAAATAATTGATTACCGGTTTATATCTTTATGCAACACATTTTATAAAATCATAGCAAAAGTACTTGCCTTCTAGAATAAATATGTTGGCTAAGATTTGAAAAATGACTCACATATTTTATATTGATGACTTGATGGTCTTTAGAAAAGCCACTATCTTCAACTTACGGTCCTTATATTTTGGCTTCGTTTGGGACGGCTTTCTTACTGCTTTCTGAAATAGCTTCTTAGTTCAAGAATTTTTTGTACTAAAAAATTACTTTAAAAAGCGATGAGTAAGTCGTCCCAAACGAAGCCTATATCTTGATTAAATTCAAGGAAGCCTTTGGTCTCTCAATTAACCTGTCTAAAAGTTCTATCATTTTCTCCAAGCTTACTCATAGACAAAATGATCTAGGCACTATCTTAAATCTTAACAATGAGACTCAATCCTTTATATACTTGGCATGCTTATTGCTACTAGAAGAGCACTAGTTTTTGATATCAGCCCTTGCTGAAGAAAGTATCTAATCTTCTTGAAGGTTGGAAAGCTAAGTCATTATCTTTTGCTAGAAGAACACAATTCATAAGTTCAATATTTGGTATACTATTGCTATTGGATCAAGGGAGAAATTATACCTTAAGACTTTTTATAAATATCTAAACAAATTATGTGCTAAATTTCTGTCATGGGAAAACAATTTTCTCTATTCTAATGCTTAAAGTATAACACATCTATTCTTTGAATGTGATTTCTCCTATAATATCATATATTCATATGTGTGGTTCTTCTATTTCTCTCGTCTTTTCTGCTATGCCAAATATTAAACAAAGTGTTTGATTATACTTCTGAGATCAATAGGGCCCCTAAAGAAGAAAACATTGCTTATATTTCTTATTTGGCAATTGTATCTACTATGTTTGGAAGGAAAGAAATGACAGGAGAATTGAAAATACAATTAATAGCTTCTCCTCAACCCACTGGTGCATAAAAAAGCCATTCGTCTCAAAATTTCTTGCTGGAAAAATTATAGAGCTACCAAAGAAATGTATCAATGATCTTTTGGATGAATACATTTAATGGCCTATGATGAAAAGCTCCAGCTGCATGCCATTTGATAGTTCAACCCCCTCTTGGACGACCTGAGACTGGCAACCATAGGAAACTTCTGGGCTTCCTTTCTGATTTCAATTTCCTTATGGCTAATCAAGAATTGACGCTTTCCTAGTCCAGTTCATTTCGGCTTCTCGCAGATCTTTGCTTTTGTTGTTTTAATCGTTTTATTTTGATGAGCATTGCTGTTTTTGCTTGCAGCTCTTGTTTCAAATTGTTGTTCACTCAGTGACTTGTAATTTGGTTTCTGAATCTAGTTCATTTTGGGCTTCTTTCCGATTGCTGTATCTTTGCTTTCGTGTTTTAATTGTTTTATTTTGATGAGCATTACTATTTTTGCTTGCTTGTAGCTCTTGTTTTAAATTGTTTCCGCCCCCAAAAGAAGAAAAAAAAAAGATCAAAGATTGGCCTACTTATTGCCATTCAGGATACAACAAAAAAATGATGTGGAGGGATGCAAAAAACATAAATTTCACATTTAAATCAAATTTCTTTTCTCATGCCTATAACATATGCCTATGAACTGGAAGTTGAGCTTCATACAACATGAAAGATATTTAAGCTAATCGCCACTCAAATCCAAGACATTACTAAAGGCTAGCTAGAGCAAGTTTATATTAACTGGATAATAGAGCGGTATCAATGTGCTTACCTTAAGCCATGGAACAATTAACAATTTGATTGTCCAACTTCTAGACTTCACACATTCCATCTTTTCTGCAAAGTGGTCAAACAATCTGCGCTATTTATCTTAGAAACAACATTTTATCACCTTTATGTTGCATTATCTAACTAATTTGAAACAAATCAATCTGCATCTACTATGAAAATAGCTTAATATCAAGTGTCTAGCCAATAGCTAGCACTTCTAGAGTATAAAGATCAAAATGCTATTGCATGAAAGCAAGGCATCTACGCAGACATGAAAGTTCATAATTAGCCAATACAATCTTTTACCGATAAAAGATTTCTGAACTTAACGTCTGTGCAGAAGCCTCAACATCAATGACGTCGATTAGCATTTTCCATCGCTAAAAATCTGGATTAGATATAAAACGTAGATATGTATGAACCTGCTGGCCACTTTTGCCAGTAAAGGGTGGGAAAATAAAAAGCAAGCCTATTGCTAGTCTCCCTATAAGTTTAACCTTTGCAAATCATTGACCCATATGTAAACTTTAGTGACCTGTATTTCAAGAAAGGAAAGTTACTCGGAAATATGCATTCTTGTGGCTGATTGCCACATCCAATAAATACATTTAACAATTACCTGAAACAGAATTTGCCAAAAAAAGCAGCGAGAAGAAGCAAAAGCACAAATCTTCTGACCTGATCTCCCACCGCAATCAAAAGGGAAGTGATTCCAGGTACACTGAGAAAGAAGTCACTCCACGTTTGCTATGGCAACAAAAAATGCAGGCGAATTGCTGGTCTTCATTACTTAGCGATGTAATATTGTAGTTACCTAATGAATTTCAGGAAAAAAGTTACCTCTGAAATCAACAAAAAGACGGTTAACGCAAAATCCTCTTGCTATTCATCAAACAGAAGTTTGATGCCTAGGCAACTTTAAAGGAAGAGGTAACAGAAGGAAACAGTAAGTTCTTTTGGGTGAGTGCATCTTTAGGAATTCCTAGACAGGTACCTGAAAGAGAATTTGTCAAAATAATAATAATAATAATAATAATAATAATAATAATGATTGTCAGTAAGAAACTCAAATCTGAATGCAAAAAGCATCTAAAAATCAAAGAAAGTTGATAATTATTAGTAGCAATATTTCAAGGCTCAAAACTAGCGCAAAAAGAATTCTGCATGATGGGCATGTTTTCCATCCAAGCAAATGTACTGAAAACCTTTTTTTTTAGCTGAGCTTCACAGCTTTTCAATTCTTAAAGATCATTTCAACTAGCACAAGAAAAAAATCATGGTGTTGAACTAGGACCTTTTTTTTCTTTATTTCAATTAGACAAGCCAAAATGATAGGTTTTTTTCTATCAAGACCTAGAGCTCAAACTAATCAAACAGGCTTTAAAACCAATAGTGAATGATTAACTAAGTAATTCAACTCGTGGATAATATAAACGTTATTTTTCTTTACATTCATTATTACAATAATCGCAATTATGCATATTGATTTTTGCTAAAAATAAGAGAAGAAAAAACATAGAAGAGAGAGACTCAATTGTACTTCTTGTGTCAATGAAGAAGCCATGGGGTATAATATTTATGGGCAAACAAGAAGGCCCAACGGCAGTCAACCAAGAGCAATGCAAGAAAGAAAGATGGTAAAAAATAATTGGTAAACAATGCATGGAATTATCCTCCTCCTAATAGAAATAAACAGCAAGCAAAATAAAGCAATTAGAGAAAGAAATATAGAGCAGCTTGCAGATAATTCCAATTCTCCAATAAGGAAAAAATCTGGGATAACTACCACACATTGCCAATTACAGTAGGTTTGATTGCTGCAATCTTAGGCATGATTTCTGAAATTAACTGGTGATTGATTAAGGTAGATTTCACTCTAAAACTCTTGATTTCTTCTAAAGTATCAGTATCTAGCAATCCTTCAAAGTAGAGAGGGAGGGTGGAAGAGAGCCCCAAATTTCACTCACGCTTAAGCTGGGAATATATATTGATTACTCTTTGCTTGGAAATGAGGATGTCGAATTGAATTTAATTTAGGGTTCTAGTAAGGATATTTACTATTTAAGATTTTGTTGAATGTAGATAAATTTAAGAAAAGCTTTTTCTCCTTTATAAAATGTCTATGAATCACAATAAGCTTAGCCCTATCATGGTGGACAAGATCTTAAGTAATGTCGGTTGTAGCTTCGTTATCACACACCATTACTACTGGTACTTTAATTTAGACTTTTGAGCAATTTCTTCACAAATTTTACTATTTTTAGAAAAAGCTGTATGCTTCTTACTTCTCGAAGTGACTAGATTACCCCCATATAAAGGACCAGTAGCTAGAATTGGACTTGTGATCAATTATTAAACTAGCACAGTCAGCATCACAAAAAAATTTAATACTGTTCTCCATTCCTTTTTTCAATAGTAGAAATTTGTAAGGAGACATTTTCAGATGTCTTAATATCCTGTAGACTAAAGGTGTTCCTCAGTGGGAGCATTCATAAATCGATAAATAACACTGAAGGGTAAACAAATGTCAATTCAAGTATGAGAGAGATGAGGAGTATCACTTTTTGTCCCAATAGTGCTGATAGAATTTATAGGGGTATTAACAGACTTGCATCTCATCATATCAACTTTTAAAATATCTAAAGTATTCTTTCTTTGAGAGACAATTGTGTCTTTCTTTGACTTTGCAATTTCAATATCCGAAAAGTATTTTAAATCTCTCTGATATTTAAATTTAATTTTTTAGCTAAGATCTCTTTTAAGCTATTAATTTCTCCGTCATTGTGGGATCCGCTACATGAATCCTTTTTCTCCATTGTATCCTTTTAAGGGTCAAATTCTCATCTAAATCTAATAAAGAAATGTCATTTCTAATATTTTCTAATCAAGCCTTTTTAGGACTACTGTTAGACCTAAACCGTAACAACCTAGACCAGATCAAGTCCATGCCCACCGGTCCAAAGGGGTGAGGCGGACAAGAGAGGTGGGTGGCAGCATTGGTGGTCCCCATGGCCTAAATTAAATAGGGTTTGGGAGGGAAAATTTGAATGAGGGGCTGTTTAGGGATTAATTAATTTTCTTTTTACTTTAATTAGTCTTTCTTGTTAGGGTTTGGGGTTATCTTGAGATTGGCTGAATTTGGAGATCTAGGTTTAGTTCCTTTGGGGCTCTAGGCTTGGCTAGAGATTTGGAGAGCTGTTCTTCCTCACGAATTGAAGAACTTGTATCGTTGATCGCTTTTCTTGTTCGTGAATTAAATTAGGGAAGTTTGCTTGTGCTTTTCTTTCCAAATTCTCGAATTTTCTACATCGAACTTCTGGTTTCTCTCTGAAACCAGCAGTTTGTTTCACTGTTTTCTCACCAATAATTGCTAGGTTTTGCTTGTGAACTCAAGTATTACCTTAGGGTTACTTGCGAACTCAAGTACTACCTATCAAATTGGTATCCGAGTGTTGTCTTGAGACCATTGGCGGTTGAAATTCTGCGGTGAAACTTCATCTAGAAGAAGATCTTCACGTGATTCCTGAGAAGAACTATGGCCGGGAAGAAGGTTAAAGTTTTAGAGGGAGAAATTGGACAACTGAAATTAGATCAGGAGGAAAAATTTTATGATTTTCAAAATCAGATTTCATCCAATTATAAAAAGATGGAGGGAAGTTCTCCATGATGGAAGAATTGTTAAAGAAATTGTTAGAAGTGAAGACCGCTCCGACGACATCGAAAGCAAGGAAAACCATCGGTGGCCATAAAAGAGGTGGCCCTAACATGTTTAGGGGAAGGGAAAATTGGGAAGTAGAAATCTTGGAGGGTGAAGATGGAATGTCTCCTCTAGAACCACCTTCTAGGGAGGAGAAGAGCACTAATTTCGTAAGAAGGGCTGCTGATTTTGAAGGGAGAAGGGAAAATTTCTACCGCCGAGGTGCTGAAGTTGAAAGAATGAGAGGGGAATTTGATGAAGGGATTGGGTAAGATCGTCGGAGGGAAGATTGTGACCACTGGGGAGCATCTCCTCTTCGTGGAATGGGAGGTTATGGAGGATTCAGGGGCAACAGGGGTGACCCGAAGGTGAGGAAGCTGAAAATGCCTATCTTTGACGGCGAGGATGGTCATGGTTGGATCTACAAGATGGAACAATATTTCTCCGTCAACGGATTGACGGAGGAAGAGAAGCTGACTGCAGGCGGACTGTGTTTGGAGGGAAGGCACTGGCATGGTACCAATGGCGTGACATGAGGCAACCCATCCGAAGCTGGAGGGAATTCAAAGAGTGCTTACTAGAACGTTTCCAAATCGGTATGGGAGAAGACTTCTATGAGCAATTCTTTGCCTTGACACATGAGGGGACCATGGCAGATTATCGTGACAGGTTTGAATATCTGGCCAGCAGACTTGATCGGCTCTCAGAGACAGTGCTAGAAGGAAACTTTATGAAGGGGCTGAAAGCGGAGATCTGGGCAGCAGTTAGGGTGATGAGGCCACGAGACCTGGGAGAGGCCATGAAGCTAGCATAGCTGGTGGAGGATCAGAAGTATCTGGAGAGGGAGTTAGGGGGGGGCAACTCAGTGGGGTCATATAGGATGACCACTACTTTCTTAGCTTCCAAGGGACTTACACCAGGGGGGTTGAGGGAAGTGCCCAAGGAGAGATCTAGAGGAGGGAGAAATTTCAAAAGGCTGACTGAGAAGGAGATACACGAGAAGAGGGCAAAGGGGTTATATTTTAGATGTGATGAGAAGTACATGCTAGGGCATAGGTGTAAGGACCGAACTCTTCAGATTCGCACCATCTGTGATGACGAGGAAGCTGAAGAGCGAGGTGAAAGTGGGTTAGAGATGGAGGACGAGGAGAAGCTGCATCTGGATGTGGCAGAAATCTCCCTAAACTCCATGGTGGAATTCACTCTGAATCACACTATGAAAGTAAAGAGAGAGATAGCTGATAGAGAGGTAGTAATGTTGATAGATACTGGGGCAACCCACAATTTCATCTTCACTCAAATTGTTGACCTGTTTGGGGTGAAATTAGTGGATACATGAGGCTATGGGGTCATGATGGGCATGAGAAAGGTGAAAATGGGTAGAGGAGTTTGTAGAGTAGTGCTGATGATTCAGGGGACCCAGGTGAGGGAAGACTTTCTTCCCTTGGAGTTGAGGAGTACTGATGTCATCTTGAGGATGAAGTGGCTAAAGACTTTGAGGGAGATCAAGGTCAATTGGGATGCTTTGAGGATGAAAGTGATGGTGGGAGGAAAGAGGATGGTGATCCAGGGCGATGCAGGGCTGTCCAGGGCCGGAGTATCGCTTAAAACCATGATTAGAACCATACAGGAGGTGGATATTTGGTGGAATTGCAATGCATTCCTCTAGCAGTACAACCACTCATACAACAGTTCAGTGAGGTGTTCCAGCCACATCAAGGCTTACCACCACCCAGAGAGCAAGAGCATGCAATCATTTTGAAGGAGGGGGTGTCACCAATTAGTGTGCGGCCCTACTACTACCTCCAAATTCAGAAGGACTAGATTGAGAAGCTGATTAGGGAGATGTTGGAAGCGGGGATCATCAGACCAAATGTGAGTCCTTTCTCTAGTCCAGACTTACTGGTCAAGAAGAAGGATGGGAGCTGGAGATTCTGTGTGGATTACAGGGCATTGAATAAGGAGACTATACCAGATAAGTTTTTCATTTCGGTGATCGATGAACTACTGGATGAGTTGTATGGAGCGGTAGTATTTTTTAAGATGGATTTGAAGTCGGGCTACCACCAAATCAGGATGAAAGAGGAAATTCAGAAGATGACATTCAGGATGCACGAGGGGTACTATGAGTTATTGGTGATGCCATTTGGGCTCACAAATGCCCCTGCCACTTTCTAGTCATTGACGAACAGGGTGTTCAGGCCGTACGGAGGTTTGTCCTAGTTTTCTTTAATGACATACTGGTGTACAGTAGAATCGAAGAGGAGCACCAGGAGCATTTAAGGGTGATCTTTGGAGTGCTAGAGGAGCATCAGCTTAAGGCCAACCTAAAGAAATGCAGCTTCACACAGACTAGTGTGGATACATAAATATGTACGCCAACATACATGCATATATACATTAAACATGCATAATATGCAAAATGCATTATACGTCATGTTAGCGCACTAAACCACTATAATGCACATCAAGCATGTCATGGAAAATGCAAACGCGTACGCCAACATACATGAATATATGCATATACAAAAATGCACATACAAGTATATTAATATACAGATGAAGGCATGGCCGTGTGTGCGAATATGCATGTTTGTCATAGATATTTGCATACATACAACCAATATACAAACATATCATACAAAATACATATAAAAGTATACACCCGCAAGGCCCCGGCTAGCGTGTTGTAAGCACACACGTGACGTCTAAGGATGTTGCACGGGTCAAGAAATGAACTCAAGTTCAAGTTCAATCCTTCTATATGGATAAATAGGAGTTCATACGGCTCGAACCCTTAAACAAATATATGGTCGCAGTGTCAACCGAAATATTTATTTTATAAATTCATTTTAGGCCTTCAATGTCTATAAAAAGAAAAATTCACTATTAAAGGCATAAAACCGACAATAAACCCGATCTTGAACTCACAAAGAGCCAATGTCACTACGATTCATTCTCAAGCAGTCTTTTGCCAGTAAGGATGTGACACATGTCCTCTAACTGGTGATTTTGCTGCCAAATGACACCACAGGTAAACTGTTATGACCAGGACCCTCTAAACTGGGTGATTTTGCCGCCAAATGACACCACTAAATTACAGTCATGGTCAGAGCCCGCATGTTCCCCACTTGCCTCAAATCCTTGAGATATGAATCAATAGAATATAATTGATAGGGCATAAAGCTCTCTACTAGCTAAGGTGGATTCATGCTTGTATTCTTAGACAAATACTCATCCCAGACCTACAAGATACCCTTGGACAAAGCAACACATAGTTGCTGACAAGAATATTTATGTCAGGTTGGGTCAACTACCTCCTCTAACTAAGTAGGCTTAAGGACCACGATGGTTCAGGGCGACAGAACAATGGGATCTTGATTGGGCTCATCGTCATTTCACCCACCATCCTCTTTAAGTGTAAGCTGGTGAATTTTTAATTTAAAATATTAAATCTTCAAATAATAAATCATATTGTTACTATACACCAGATACTATGTACATCTAGGTATTTGTTTGATGACTAACCTTAATACAAAGTTCTCTCTAGCTATCATGAGGGGGTAATTAACTATAAGTGCTTGCACCTATAAGAATCCTGAACTCAAATAAAAAAAGTCTTAGCAAAATGAGGACGAAATATTTGGGTAAAGTTTTAATTCAAAACTCAATCTTCCTTCTGAAAATTTACCTCAGAACATACTCATTAAAACTCTACTCAATGACCCGAAGAAAAAAGAAAGGTGTAACAGTTCAAACTCTTAACTATTGAAATATTGTCCACTTTGGCCTAAGGACCTCACGGTTTTATCCTGTTGATGTAACTACCCAGTAGATCACCCATACCAAAATTGCTCCAGGATGAGCACGTTTAACTGCGGAGTTTCTTAATGAATTTCAACCATTACACAACAAGGTGCCTCAATGTTTAAGAGTTTAACTTCGTTTATTTAAGAGGGTTCACAATCTCTCCCACTTAAGTAACTAACGTCAGCGTCAGTATCATTATCCCAAAATCATCCACCAAGCATATAAGATTATAGAGGTGGCCCCTACAAGTTCAAGTGGTGACTCCCGTCATGTAGCACTTTGTCCCACACAGAATTCAAGAGGTGGCTCCCATGGCGTAGCACTTTTCCTTGTATGACACTTAGTTCTCATCTTCTGCATGGTGTATTGCTCTGATATCATTTGTGATATCTCAAACTCTTAATTATAGAGATATTGTTCGCTTTGCCTTAGCCTTATAGTTTTTCCCTATTGATGTAACTTCCCAATAGGTCACCCATCCTAAAATTGCTCCGAGATGAGCACGCTTAATTGTGAAGTTTCTTAATAAAGTTTCAACCATTACACCAAAAGTCGCCTCGATGTTTAAGAGTTTAGCTTCTTTTACTTAAAAGGTTTCACAAAAGTGGTCTGCGGAGAGGCTGGGGAGCGAATTTTCGAATCCCAAGGAAACAAAAAGAATTTTGAGGGTATAAAAGAAGGTTATATAAGGCATGAATTAATACCAAGTTTAAGGCTTCGTTTGGGACGACTTTTTTACTGCTTCTTAAAGCAACTTTTTAGTACAAAAATTTAATTTTTTTGTACTTTAAAGCTGCTTTAAGAAGCAGTAAGAAAGCCATCCTAAACGAAGCCTAAATTAAGAGAGAAGAAACAACATAGAAGTGAAAGATTCAATAGTATTTCTTGTATAAATGAAGGAGCCAATGTACAATATTTATAGGCAAGCAAGGAAGCCCAAAGGGTGCGGATGGGGGTGGGGGGAGTGGAATTAGATTGGCAAGAACCATGTATGAAAGAAGATATGCACGGGGAGTGGAATTAGATTGGCAAAAACCATGTAAGAAAGAAGATATGCACGGGGAGTGGGATTAGATTGGCAAGAACCATGTAAGAAAGAAGATATGCACAGAAACCAACCTATACCTAAAGAAACAATTTGTTTTCAATTTTTACTAGTTCCACAAGTGATGGGCATTTCAACTTCATTCAAGCCAATTTGGCCCTAGCACCAAATCAAACTGTGACAACCCAGCAGGGTTGCCAAGCATGCAGGAGTGCCCAGTAATAATCAATTGAAATTCTTGCCCTCATATGAAAGGTTCTCATTATTACATTTAGAAAATAAATGGCCTGATACCAGGCTCAATTTTTAATGTTTTCAACGATCATATCTAGGATAATAAATAATATGTAGTTGTATTCCTAAATACAAATATTTACAGTTATAGTACAAAATTATACAAATTCTATAGACATAATTTACCCAACAATAATAATGACATATATCTAGCTGATAGTTCCAATATTTGTTTAGTTATTCTAAAATTTCAAACAATTTCAAAAACAAAATTTTCCTTAGAAAGATTTAACAAACCTTAAGATTAGAGCCATGACTTAAGTTCACATCTAAGCCAAATTTAATGCACATTATTCTTAATAGATTTCACATCATACAGATAAAAAAAAGAGGAGCACTGAATATATGAACGACAAATGAACTATTACAATTCCGGAAAAATTAATCATTTTGCTGCAAATAAAATTTAATGAAATCACCACGTTACTCTATATAAAAAGATTATAGAAGCTCTTTACTAGGTAAAAATGCAGCTCCTTAGTTGCCACTAGAAAAGAATTTCAAGATGGATAGGAAGAAGCCGGGTTGTGAATCTACCTTCGTTTAGAATATGTAGATAGCTTTGTCTCAGAATCCTTGACGTTCTTTAGATAATCAAAAGCTCTCCTACCGTCTTCATTATCAACATGATCATCACTATCGGCTGGTTCAGATTTCAATCTGGTGAAACTACGAATCCATCTCAAAACGTACACATTGAAGTAATAGCTTACAATATCTTTCCTTCTTTTTGCGGTGAAATGCTTCAAGGCTTCATCCCAGAAACTTTTACCCTCTGATTCAGGATTTAGTTTCACTATCTCATCAAACTTCATTTGCTCTTTAAGGGTCCAAGACTTGCAAACTTCCTCACCCATTTGTTGGAAGCACCAATCAAAGAAAGCCGGACCCAGATCAGACTTGAGGTGACGTCTAGCAGTTCTCACATGAAGCTTGACGCAGTTTACTGATCCTGAGAAGACGCAACCACAGGAATCTTCCCTTCCTTTGCCAATTGACTCGCATTTGAACTCAGTCTCATTCCATTTTGCTGGCCTTCCTGTGGTACCCAACCACCTTAGCTCATCCAAATTATCATTTGCACCGTCATGCCTTTCAGCTGGACCAATCCAGTCAGGTACGTCAGCTTGAGCATGACCACCAATGGGAATTCTTTTTGAAGGATATGTACTAAGAATGTCACCGAACTTTTGTAAATCTAATAATCTTTTAGACCTTCGTTTTCTCCGATAAAGTGTCTCGCCACTCAAATTATGATAGGAGTGCCTCTTCCTTTTCTAAAACATAAAATGTCTCAATTGGCTACTTGAGCAATAACCATGACTAAAATGCAAAGCCAAGGTTTCAAACTTTTCATCAAAAGAAATACACAAGAAAAAAATGTTGAAATATGAATATAATGGCAAGAGACACAAATTGGAGCAATAAATATTAGAAAACAGCTCGCAGCTGAGACTAGGTCAAGGAACATAAACAAACTTTTCAAATTCTGCTCTAATTTGCAAGCAAAATAAGATGAGTTGCATAAGACTTTCCAGGATAGCACAAATCGAAGATATTATTGTAAACATCATTAGCACAGAAAGAAGCGAAGATAGAAGAGGTAAATGAGCTGGCAAAATTTTTGTATTCCATTGTCAGTAAATACATAAAATGCACATACTTATACATGTGATAACAGAGAGATTGTTACAACGGTACAGAATTTCTTATAGGTGAATGGTAGAGATTTGCTGTTTTCAATGAGTGGCTTAAATGAATTGTGGAGTAATGGTCCTAGTGGAAGTGGCAGTACTCTGTTTTGCTATAGGCAGATTGTTGTCATCTCCGGCGAAGTGATGATCCTATTAGGCAGCATCAACTTGTCTCTTAAGTAAATGAAGCGAGCTGTAAAGAGAGCTTCAGTTAAACTTCCTATCAATTGATTATGTGTCGCTATATGATCGAGTTCTTGAGATTTGATGCAATTACAAATGAAGTGGTAGCTGATCTCAATATATTTGGTGCAGATGTAAAAGAATGGATTGTTGGCAAGTGATAGAGGGAAGATATTATCACAATAGAGTAGCATGGACGAGCTGAGAGGACCATGAAATTCTTGCAAAAGAAGTCTCAACCAAATTATGTTCGTAGCCGTCATGGAAAATGCGCAATATTCAGCTTCGGTGGAGAAGCAAGCCATAGGGGTTGTTGCTAAACACAGTAAGAGATGGGTCATTTGGATATCATGCCCCATCTAAATTGGAGAATGCGCATAATTGTAGATTGTTGTCGTGTTGGATGAGACCATGGTGAAGTGTGCCTTGTTGATACTCGAGAAGGTTTTAAGAAGGTGGAATCATTTATTCAATGTCTGATGCATGTGTTGGCACATTGATTCATAGGAGATATCTGATCTAGTGATTGTGAGGCACTGCAAGAAGCCAACAAAGCTTTGATAAAGCTTAGGATTGGATAAATCAGCACCAGTATTTTCTGGGATGGAAGTTTTAATTGTAATGTGGGGTTTATATAGGTTTGCAATTGCTCCTAAATGCATGCTGAAGAATGGTGATGACATATTGGGTTTGGTTGAGGTGGAGCCCATTGGTCAAGCAAGTAGCTTGGGTGCTAAAAAATAGAGAAATGGATCAGAGGTTGTGCATATGGAACTAGTGGTGCCAGCTTTAGATGAGATAAAAAATGGCACTAGAGTTATTTCCCGTGAGAAGTATATCATCTACATAGATGAGAATGTAGAGTTGGTGCCATGGTGGGAAGGGTCAGCCTTATTGGATTGAAATATGAAGAGATGAAGATTATCAGAGAAGTTGGCAAACTATTGGTGTGGAGCTTGTTCAAGACCATATATGAAGAGAGGGAGATGATCGGACAAGCTGGCAAACTATTGGTTTGGAGCTTGTTTAAGATCATATATGCCCTTATTGAGAGAATAGATGAGCTATGAATGTAGGGAGTCCTTGAACCCAAGAGGATAAGCCATATAGATATTTCATGTGAAAGTGACATGGAAAAAGGTACTGGATACATCTAGCCGAATGATTGGCCAATCATGATAAAGTGTAATGGTAAGGAGAATGCAAATGATACGCATCTTGTTCATGTGTTGAAAGCTTCGTGATAGTAAAAACCATGTTCCCATGTGATAGTAAAGCAGTCATATGGGATGCTTTAGTAGAGACTAATGTAACTTAAACTGCTTTAATTCAAATCAACAATGCAAAGCCCACCCCTCATCAACCATAATAAATGTGGTGAGCTTCCAAAGCTCCCTATTTCGACACCAAAAACAATAAGATGCCATAAATACAATAAAAAGAAAGTCAAACTAAGCATTTTGACCTAAATCCCAAGCAAAAAGCCATATAATACTATTTTAAGCAACCTCAAGAGAAAATCTTAAAAATTGAAAATATATATTAAATTATTAAAAAAAAAATGATTGCATTGTGCTATAAGTTACCACCCTCCAGACGTCATTTTAAACTTATCATGGGCACCAAAGCTAAGAAAGACTACGATTCACAAAGGAGCCTATCTTGCCAATATAACCGTCACCAAAGTCAAGGAAGACTATGGTCCACAAAGGATTCTGTCTTGCCAATATGACCAAGTAGAAAGAATATGACATGAGAATCAGGATCCATGTCATCCTTATCCTCATTTTTATATTCTTAAAAAAAAGACCTTATATGTAATAATTCCATCATAATTGAATTCTGAATCATTATCATCTTCAAAATCTTCTTCAATGGTATCATTTTTTATATTATTCCTTACATCAGTTAATATTTGATTCAATATAATCTAAAGTAAAACAACAAATTATTAATTAAACAAAATAATTCATTATACTTGAATTACCTTTTGATTTTTTTAAGCCTACTCCACTTTGCTTTTTTTTCTTTTAAATAATTGTGAAGTAGAAGTTACTTATAAATCAGTAGGCTTTTCAAAGTTAGATTGTTAGCATTGATATATTCATTTTCCTAATCATTAAAATCATTCTTTTATATTTATCTTCAAATCTTTCACTGTTTTTTTCTCTGTTTAAAATTGCGCAATAAGAGGCGCGTCTCTTCGTAATTCGTCCCAAAACCGTCTCGAAGCTTACGCAATTCCACCCCTGGCAGAGGCGTATGCCTCACATGGACTGAGGCGCGCCTCAGAGGCGCAATTGCACAATTATGGGTGAGGCGTACGCCTCATAGAACCAACCCCACCAACTTAAAATGAAGCCTCTTCTTCCCTTCATCCCGCACGGATTCCAGGTTTTCCCAAAAATTTCATTCTCGCAGGCTCTGTTAGCGAAACAGACGGGCTCACGCACCATCGGCCTCCCTTCCCGCCGCCTCTCCTGCCGGCGCCGCCTCTCTCCGGCAAACTTGAAGTGTCCGGCCGCCCTCTAGGAGTACTCCACATTGGATTTTAGGTATTTTTTTTAGTTTAGGGTTAGATTTTTCAAGTGTAAGAAAATCTAGGGTTTATGTTTTTTTATTGTTTTTTTGTGTTTTTGGATTTTTGCTTTATGAGACATAGTTAGAGGTAAAGAAAAGGCGAATATGTCATTGCGGCGTGACCCTTCTTGGAAATATAGCGTGCAAGTTGACGTAGGAGGGGGCGAGAAGACGTATGTAAGATAGAATATTGCTATTTTTATTGTAAGATAGAATATTGCTATTATTATCCTGCTAAAACCCTTAATTTCTCATTTACGCAATTCTGTGTCCGTGAGGCTTACGCCTCAGACCGCCTCGAGGCTTATGCCTCGCCTCACGGACGAAAACCGCCTCGAGGCTTAATTACGCAATTTTAAACCTTGATTTTTTTTTAGTTATTCATTCATCATTAGATAGTATATCATCAAAAACCAAATGATCTATTTCATCATCATTAGTTATTTTCTTGTGTAATTTGAAATGTCTATCTTTTAATTCTTTATTAAATATAATATAAACCAACTTGTTCATTTGTCCTATAGCTAATCAATTCCTCATCTTTGTATAATCGAAAAAATATATGTTAATAATAATAACTGATACATCATAAAAAAATTATCCTGATCAGGCACGAATCTCAATGCAAAATCAAGTTGGAAACTTTCGAAATTAAAATTGGGACCATTCGAACTCCGATTTCAGCAAATTTACAGTCAAACTGAACATCTCGGAAATACGAACCCAACAACACCAAATTCGACTCAATCCGAACCCAAATGTGTCCAAATAAAAGACCCGAAGCGCTGTTGGAAGGTTCGAACCACAATTTGGATTACCAAACGGTTTCCAAACATAACGTGCTTATAGCCGAATCAAGCGGCCCGACGAGACAAATCCAACGTGCCCAAGATCGCCGAATTCTGACATCATTAAGACCTTCAAATGCCTGACGAATAGTCCACAATCAAGGGAGTCAATATCGGCCGTCCATCCAACCACTCCCCATTTACCCTTGATCTCACACCTATTTACGGGTCATGCAACTCCAAAAATCTATAAATAGACCCCTCATTCCTCTTTGAAGAGGAGGGACCCAAGGAAGAAGAGAAGAAGAGAATAGAAGGAAGAAAAGGAAGAAGCTCCTCCTCGACCACCGCCTGAGTTCCGTTGGACCGTCGTCTGTCATCGTTACTCCGCCGGACCACCACCTGAGGCCCTCACCTTCGTCAGACCACCACCTGAGGCCCTCACCTTCACCGGACCACCGCCTGACGTTGTTGCTCCGCCGGACCACCACTTAAGGCCCTCACCTCCGCCGGACTACTGCCAGACATCGTTGCTCCGCCGGACCACCACTGTAGGCCCTGAGCTCCACCGGACCACCACTTGAGGCACTCACCTCCGCCGGACCACCGCTTGACGTCGTTGCTCCGCCGAACCACCACCTGAGGCCCTGACCTCCGTCGGACCACCACATGAGGCTCTAAGCTCCGTCGAACCACCACTTGAGGCCCTGGGTTCTGCCAGACCACCACCTGAGGCCTGGACTTCTCCCAAACCACCACGTGACGCCCAGACTTCTATAGGACCACCACCTGAGGCCTGGATTTTTGCCGGACCACCACGTGATGCCCGAACTTCTGCCGGACCACCACCTGAGGCTCGAACTTCTATCGAACGACCACCTAATGCCTGGAGTTCTACCGAAGTACCGCCCTACTACTATAGTCCTTCCGAACTCCATCACCAGACAACTATCTTTCTGACTCCAATCTCCCGCCAACTACGGCCTTTCGAACCCGTCTCCTGCTGACTGCGATCCTTCCGACCTCCTTCGCCTACTATGGTCCTTCCTCCCTCCATCACCAAACAATGGTCTTTCGGACCCCTGTCTCCTGCCGACTACAGTCCTTCCGACCTCCTTCACCTACTATGATCCTTCCGACCTCCATCACCAGACAACGGTCTTTCTGACCTCGGTCTCCTGGCAACTACGGTCTTTCGAACCCTAGTCTCCTGCCCACTATGGTACTTTCGACCTCCTTCGCCTACTATGGTCCTTCCTACCTCCATCACCAGAAAACGGTCTTTCAGACCGTACTACGGTCCTTCCGATCTCCTTCGCCTACCATGGTCCTTCCTACCTCCATCACCAAACAACGATCTTTCTGACCCTGGTCTCCTGCCAACTACGGTCTTTTGGACCTTTGTCTCCTGCCGGCTACGGTCCTTCCGACCTCCATCACCTACTATGATCCTTCTGATCTCCATCACCAGACAACGATCTTTCCAACCTTTATCTTATCGACTATAGTCGTGCCGACTAAACAAACATGTCTATATTGTAACTCCCACCATGTAATGCACGCTATATGATATACATTGTACCATCAAGCCAAGGCCTTCTCCCAAGGGCCTCATTTGTAATCGATAGCAAATACTAGTGGATTCATTCAAACTGGGCCAGACACCGTTATTTTTCCCCCTTTTCAGGGGTTTCTACGTAAAAACCCTGGTGTTTCTTATGAATGTTACACTCTCTTTTTATCTGTGTGTGTGCTGGATCTTCGTACAAAGCTGAGACGTTAAACTTTATATTGCTCTACTGCCGCGAATATTCCAGGATGCAACAGTAATAATAATATATAATATTTTTTTTTATAAAATTTAACCTGAATGAGGAGTCACCACAAAATACCTCTAGACATTAAGACTTAAGGCATATGCCTCATTTAAAAAGGCGTAAGCCTCCCTGGCACCAGTGAGGCTTAAACCTTGAGCCCTCCTTGTGCGACCCAAATAATTTTTAAAACCATGGTCATGCCTAATATGTGCATATGAATCAAACAATCAATCATGCTTCCAAAACCCTTTATATTCCCTAAAGAACCATATCTTGAAGCCCGAGTCAAGTGATTCATCTGATAAGGTAAAAAACCTTACATCAATCAAGATTAGCTAAGAAAATGATCTCATTAGCAATTTTTTTTGCACCTACTCTATCAGGATCTCGTATAGAAGGTAATTCAGATGGAAGCATTGGGATCTTAAGGAACCATCATCTGCAACAATCTATGAGTACAAAAGTATAATCAATCTAAAAACATGAGATTGACAAATAAAACATAATTCAATAAACCATTCACAACATAACTTAATATAAAAACAATGAGGCATCCTTAAATAAGAGTTCTCTACGACAATTAAAAATAATAATTAATCATTGGGTATTACGCTCATAAGAAGCCTCAAACCAAAAATATAAAGTACTATATGATGATGAAATCATTAGATAATGCTAATACACTATTTAATGCGACGGTTAAAATCCATCAGCTCCGCCAAAGGGCCATTGCAACAACACAGTGTAGCTGTAGGAGTATAGGATCCTGGGAAACAGAGGAGCAAGTAATGAGCCAAAGCAATTAGGGAGCAGTGGCAAGAATCAGAGATGAGGGTACAAGAGCTCAAGCGCCGCTTCTTTTGCATACAATACCACGATGGAGGATCGCTGGTGGCAACACTCGAACAGCATCGACAACCGAAATATCTAGAAGCGTGAAGCGACATATCAAGGTGCACAAGAGATGCAGCAAAGAACGGGCATTTCCCAATGTCCTTTGCAATGTTTGCACCAAGGCAGAATGGTAAAAGGTACCATTTTTTTTTAACTTTTTGCATCACATTAGCAATGCTGACTAAGTATGTACTCAAAAGCATAGTTGTTCAGGAAAAACAATGTCATCCAAACAAAAGCAAGCAAAACATTGATGGCATACAACAAAATGTGCACGGAAAGTTTTACCAGTTATGATACTCTTCCAAAATCTTCTAGAATTGAAACATGGAAATTGTAGCATTGGCAATTAAAATAGCACCCACAAATGATAGAAAGAAAATCTTCAGGCTTACAAGGTATAACTGATAGTGCCCGAAGATCCGGGGACGTGTCTACTAAATGGACGGTGAATAAAGAAACTGGCAAGAACAATAAAATTAACTTTACTCTATATGGGAAGTACTCCGCTTCAGCACACTTTTCCGGTATGATAAATAGAGCTGTCCTCGTGCTCAGTACTTGACGCTCCCACTCTTGATCCTCTCCAGTTCGATCATCGCAAGGATCGATAGCGGCGTTCTTTAACATCGTTAGCATAATTCCCAGATTAGGGTCGATTTTTTTTCCATCGCCCTCCTTCCACGATCGAGCTCTACTCGCGGGGAGTAGTTCGACGAGGGCTTCGGCCTTGCTTCCCAGATCCGGAAACCTTAACTCGCAGCAGCCCATCTGTTGAATCAAACTTTTGATGAGTCCAAAGAGTTCGACACCGTCTCCTGCGGAGATCTGGATATAAGAGACAGTGGAGCTCGGTCTAGGCAATGGCGAAGATAAGGCGGAGGAGACGAGAAAGCATTCGCGGCCGCGTAGGTCGAAGAGTTAACGAGAGACTTCGGCCATTGGGAAGCAGGGCGCAAGGAGGATGGTACAAGAGGCAGGTTTTTGCCTTTGCCTATAGGTTTTGCGCATGATGGCGGAGGCGGGAGGCCGGACTGGTGCGAGCAAAACGAGGAAGCGGGATCCGTTCGGAAAAGTTAAATAAAATAATAAATAGTGTTTCTTCTCAATTCTTCTTCATTAGCATTGGATTTTATATGATATTATTATTTATTTTCAATATATATAAAAGTTAACAAAAAAAAAGAATTTCATAAGAAATAATTCAAGATTGTGAAAATCGGACCGGACAAAGAACCGGAAGAAAAAAAGATTCAACTGAATGATGTAATAAATAATAATATTATTAAAAAATAATAATATTAATAGAATAATTACGAGAATGTAATCTCAAATCATATATGGCCCAACTAGCCCAAATTTATGGCCCAACCAACCCAAATTAATGACCAAATAAAGCCCAAACTCACATTCAAGCTCATATAACATTAATGTAACTTTTTTAGTCCCACATCATGAAAGAGTATGATATGGTTTCCTTTTAGCTCTTGATATAGTTCCCTCTTTTCAAACAAAATTTATTTTACGAGATGACATCCATGTATTATGGTATTAAAAATCTCATTATTTAATAAAAAAATTTATTTTTTAAAAAAGTAATGAAGTAAAATATTTTTATTTATATTTTAATTAAAATAAAAAAAAATAAAACCGCCTTGTTCTTTTGAACCCAGACGGGTTCGCTGGTTCACCGGTTGAACCGCTAGTTTATTCTGGTTCATGCCGGTTCTATGTGAAGTCGATTATTGAACTGGATCAGATCGGACAACTGGCCGATTCACGGTTGAACCGGTTGAACCGTTCGGTCCGGTCCGATTTTTAAAACCTGAAAATAACCTCAAGTCCTTATGAATTATTTATTAAATATAAAGCTCTTCCAAATTGATTTAAATCATAGATCGGACCATGATTCAAACCAAGATTCGAAGCAAGAGCGTAACCACTTAACGAAAAATAGAAGTTCATTATAAGTGCTCATCAGGGGAAAGCATCAACAAAACTAACTATCACATCCTGAGCATTGCAATTGGAAAGAAATCATAGAAACTGAACAAAATGAGACGAGTTGATAAATATAAAAATAATTCAAATATATAAATATGTCAACAAAAATATAATTATAATTTAACTTCTACACTAACTCATTCAAAATATAAAAAATTGGTATTAAACTAACTAAATACATTCTTATATTAATTACCTTATAAGGATATGCCTAAGGCATAAGTCTAGAAATTTTCATCTCGATGATGCACAACTAATAATATGAAAATTTATAAAATAATATGTGTGAGTTTTCAAGAAGCAAACTTAGTCCATAATCACACTAAGTATAAAAGACAAAATCACATGGCATAAATATGCTCAATAAAGAGCAAAAGTAATAATATTTACCTTTACCAGATCAATGAAATCTTATCTATATGATGATCCTAGAGGTCTGGCACCTGACACATGATAGATATTTTCTCCATATCTTTAAAGAAAAAATCACTGCAGCAAATTTCAGATCATATATTGGGTAATTCCACTCATATGGCCTCAACTATTAAAAAGTATAGGCTATATCACATTTTCATGTTGCATCAATACACATCTCAAACCTTTCAATGAGGCATCACTAAATACTTGAAATTCTTCTGTACCAGATAAATAAGTCAAAATTAAAACATAAGTCAAGCAATCATTCAATCTCTAACAGCTAACCTTACACTTAGGAGTCTAGACAAAAGTTACTGACTTCTAAGTCAGTCTCGTTATAAGTGCAAAATTTTGAGAAAATTTCTTCACGGACTTTCTATAATATCCAGTCATGCCCAAGAAACTTTGTACCTCAAATACAATAGTAGCCCTTAGCTAATTCATAATTGTCTGAATTATTTAAGGATCTATATAAATACATGGAGTACTCACCACGTGTCCCAGAAAAGTAACACTCCTCAACCAAAAGCCACATTTAAAAAAATTTGTATATTGTTGAGGTTGCCTCAAAGTTTCCAAAATAATCCCCAGATGTCTGACATGATCTTCCTCAAAAGTAGAATAAACTAGAATGTCATATATGAAAATAATAACAAATTGGTTCAGATAACCTCTAAACACTATGCTCATCGTATCCATAAAATAAGCTAAAGCATTAGTCACTCTAAAAGACATGACTAAAAACTCATGGTGTCTATATCTCATACTAAAAGCAGTCTTCATCACATTAGACTCTCTCACTTTCACCTGATAATATTCAAATTGTATATCAATCTTAAAAAATAAAGATGGTACCGCAAGCTGATCAAATATATCATTAATCTGTAGCAGATACTTATTATTAATAGTGACTTTATTTAACTCTATATAGTCAATGCACATGTGCATCATACCGTATCTTTTTCTTTGTAAATAGAACAAGTGCTCCCCACTAAGACACATTAGGATGGATGAATCCTTGATCAACTAACTCCAAAAATTGAATCTTCAACTCCATAAGCTCCTTAGGTGTCATCCTATGTAGATCTTTGAAAATTGGGGCTCTACTTGGAAATACATCAATAAGAAACTATATGACTCTATCTAGAGGAAAAATGACAAACTTCTTAAGAAACACATCTGAAAAGTCTCACACTACCGGGATATCAAAAGAGAAGCATAATCAATACTCCTATCTTGTACTGATGTCAAAAATATCATAGAACCTTTCTTTTATAGTTTATATGCTTTAACAACATAAATCAAATAGGATACGACTCTTCCAACTTCTTGGAATATATAATTCTCACTGTCCAAAAATAATATGATTCATTTTCTTACACAATCAATCTAAGTATTATTCCGACTCAACCAATTCGTGCCAAAAATAACATCAAATATAAAAATAAACTAGACCTCCACTTCATATCACCAACATGACTCTATTGACTATCATACTATCTCCTATCGTTTAGGTAACAAATATAGAAAAATGATAGTAAAATTAAAGACAAGTGTAATAAATTAAAGAAATGCTTGGAAATAAATGAATAGATAGCTCCATAATTAAATACTATATGGAATGGCTGATTAAAAATGAAGCTCGTACATGTCACAACATATGGAGCATCATGAGCCTCCTATTAAGTCAAACTATACACACGTGGTTGAACCATAGCTAGTTCAATTGAACTACTTGGCTCTCTCTAACCACTATTAGATGGTCTACCTACTACTACTAATTAATCCTGCCATAAAACCAGATCAACTGCCTTTAGTAGATTGTATCTTCAGAAAATTATGGAGCAGAACAACCCTTGGTATCCCAACAAGTCTAACAGAAATCTTAGATTAGGACTCAAATCATCTATCCAATCCTACCCAATGTCATACCTATCTACACCTGAAGCATTATCCATTTATCATATAACACTGGCCAGAATGTCGTCTGCCACAACTCTAGCACATATTCCCCACTAATAAATTTTCCAAAATCAACAATACTTCCCCTACTCTGAGCTGCTATAGGCACAAATTGTCACATTTCCTAGACTCTCCAAGTATGAATATACTCTTCTTCTAAAAAAATCCACTGTCATATTTTTCACCATGAAACCTCTTCCTACTAGCATTCCACCGTTGTTAAGTAGCTATCATATTGTTTTCAATCAATTGGTCTCTCTCTAGCTCAGAAAAATTAGAATATGAAATAGTACCTACAACTGTCTCAAATTATTTTAAAGTCCTATCATAAATTTGTAACAATATTTCTCCATGGGAGTGTTAACCAGCTGCAGACCATATATAGCCAAAGCAGTAAATCTTCATCATACTGCATCATAGTTATGCTCCCCTAAATCAGCTTCAAAAATTCTCATGCATCTACTGATGTGTAGAAGGTGGTATAAATTAGGCTCGAAATATATCAGAGAACTCATCCCATCTAATCAAAGAGCTTAATTTCTCCTGAAAATTTTCCTTCTACTAGCCTATTCACAAGCATTATGTCTCCCCATTTAGCAAAAAAAAAAAAAAAAAACCAATTATACTTTCCTCTCAGGAGGACACTGTATACCATCAAATGTCTTCTCCAGCCTCGTTAACCAATCCACTATTACTTTGTGCTCAGCAGCTCCTTCAAACGTCAGAGGCTTTGATTATAAAAATAGCTATAGATATTGGTCTATATCATCAGATCTAATAGCAAGAACTTTTCTCTATGCTCACCCATCATCTATGCTATAAGACTAACAAGCTGTGAAATTATATTAGAATTGATCGTTATAGCCATATTATATATAGAGTTGCCTGACTGGACAATTCCTATCGTGTTGAGTTGTAACAAATAAATTCTAAGATGTAACTTTGAAAATATTTTAGATTCTCTTTCAACAAATCTTTTAAACAAACAACAAACTATAAAGCTACTAAAACATCCGTAATTTTAAAATAAACTCATCCATAAAATTTCTTTCATTTCATCTATATACATGATCTACACTATAATATATAGCTACAAAATAAAAACTAGAGCAAAATATAACCAAAACTAGCTATGAATGTACAAAAAATAAAAAACAAAAAATAACAAATTTATAGACTCCTCCCTTTTCCTAGATATTGGAAACATAATGTAAAATCACAGTGAGCTATAATATCTCAATAGGTCACAAAAATCAATCAAAATTTATAAATTATTTCTTTCATTAAATATTTTTAGAATATTTAAATGCAGTAAAATGCAATATAATAAATCATTGTGCTGAGCAAAATAATAAGAGTATTATAATTATTCAATATTCAAATAATAATACTAAGTAATAAATTAAACTGAAATTTAAAGTGGTATGCGTGTATATCCCTATATATATATATATATATATATATATGTTGCATCCTGGAGTATTCACGGTGGTAGAGAAATATGAAGTTTAACATCTTAGCGAAGATTCAACACGCACACAGATAAGAGAGAGTGTAACATTTATAAGAGACACCCAAATTTTTATAAGGAAACCCTTAAAAGGGGGGAAAACCATGGGGTTTTGCCTAGTTTGAATGAATCCACTAGTATTTATAGTATATTACAAATGAGGCCCTTCCTTGGGAGAGGGCTTTGGCTTGATGTCA